TGCCACACTGCAGCCCAGCATGTCTGAGCACATGGAAGCACATGGCCATCTTGTCCTACAGATTTATTTATATATATGGTCCAGACCCAAAGAGTTAAAATTATCAGTATTTTACAACAAAGCAAAGATTTGAATCCAACACATTTATGTAGCAGAATTTTTCACAGTCAATTACAACAATTCTGCTTAAACAGGGTTGCATCAGTGTTCATGTAAATCAGTGCCTTATACAATGAGTTGACTATTTATTAGGTACACCAAGCAACTGCCATCTCTTTTATGAAGATGATTAAACAGTTTCGGAGGTGTTGATTCAACTGTATGATCATTTTGAAGGCACTCATTTGTGCTGCTGTTGAAGCAGTGACAGTTGTTTCTATTAACTGGACCACCCCATTTATATTATGAGGTACCAAGTTTTATTTTAGGACCGTTAAGCACGATTGTTCAGCTATTAGTGAGCACACTTTTCTTTTGTTAGTTTTGTCAGCTGCCACCCTACTTACTGACTGATTAGAGTAGTTTAACAGCTTTTTGGAGCCTGAGGAGTTGTAAGAGGGTCTACCCTCATCAGCTTGTGGCCCTCAGGCCCCAAGGCTTTACTGTAAATTGACTGAGGGTAGAAAACAGGATGGGTCCTACGGAAATAAAGGCCATTAATGCATTTTATGTCTTTGGGATCATTAAAATCGATTCATAGTAATACTATGAAGCGCAGATTTGACTTTTGTTATATATATTGTTATATTCTTACCATTTTATTCTATCAAATCTAGAGTGAATGTCCTTTATAATTATTGTAATGCGACATTTCCAATTTCTCTAGCGTTTGTAACAATACAATAAAATAGTAATAATCAACAAAATATAATAAAGATTGCAGGCTTTCTTAGACTTTTACTTTGAAAACAATATTTGCAGGAAGTTTGTGTCATTTCTTCCAACGCGCCCCGCGCCGCCTTCGCGCAGCGCTGTGCGTAAAGGTGCCCACATCTGAGCAGGTAAACAGGAGCTCGCTAACATTGTCTTCACACTGGTTTATTTCTCTCCAGACACTGAAGAAACTACCTGCTAGAGATGAGAACTCCTCCGGGAAGCCTCTGAAAGGATTTCATTTGTATTTTTCTTTCTAAAAATCCTAAATATCAATCATTTCAAGGATGCGTCGACGCGACAGGTGGTCGATATTGAGCTCCATCTTCATCCTGTTGGTGGTCACACGGACAAAACCACAGCGAAGAGGTCAGTGGACGCTGCCTGCTGCGTTTAACCCGTCGAGCGGGTGTAAATATCTCATGGTGTGTTTTAGAGAAAACATAACGTTAAGTCCAAAACTTGCATTTCCCACAGAAAAATCATAGAGACGAAAGTGCAGAAACCCCTGTTGTTAAAGTGCTGTAAAATACCAGGATGTTTGGTATGTGTAATAGCTTCTTGTTTGATTTGGCCCTGCACATCCGACCTTAGAAAACTCCCAGCTGATTTGATTTAAAATGTACATTTGGCACATTTTTCTGAATAATGAGCCCACTGTGTGCTGACTCACAGACAAAGCCTGGTTCGTTCAGGCTGGAATGAGGTTGTGGCTGATGTCAATGTCTGGACTTGTCTATTAGCATCTCTTCCACAGTCAGAGGTGAACTGTACCCTTACTGCTTTTTGTTTAGTTTTACAAAAGTGGATTTAAATCAGAAGGAGGTAACCTTGGTCTTCATTAGATCATGCGCTGGCTTGTTCTTCTGGCACTGGGGGAATATAAAATAATGTTTTGTTAATTTAGAATGGATATGATACAGGGGATCCCGTGGGATAATTAGCTTTATTCAAAAATGGATTCATTTCATTATTGTCCTCAAAATTCTACAAACAATACCTCATAATGACAATGTGAAAAAAAGTTTGTTTGAAATCTTTGCAAATTTATTAAAAATAAAAAACAACAAAAAAATCACGTTATGTTGCTATGACAGTCAAAATTGAGCTCTGGTACATCATGTTTCCACTGATCATTCTTGAGATGTTTCTACAACTTGAGGAGAACCTTCCAGAAGAACAACCATCTTTGCAACACTCCACCAATCAGGCCTGAATGGTAGAGTGGCCAGATGGAAACCACTCCTCAGTAAAAGGCACATGGCAGCCCGCCTGGAGTTTGCCATAAGGCACCTGTAGGACTCTGAGACCATGAGAAGCAAAACTCTCTGGTCTGATGAAACAAAGATTGAACTCATGTCTGGAGGAAACCAGGCACCGCTCACCACCTGGCCAATACCATCCCTACAGTGAAGCATGGTGGTGGCAGCATCATGATGTGGGGATGTTTTTCAGCGGCAGGAACTGGGAGACTAGTCAGGATTGAGGGAACAATGACTGCAGTAATGTACAGACACATCCTTGATGAAAACCTGTTCCAGAGCGCTCTGGACCTCAGAATGGGGTGATGGTTCATCTTTCAACAGGACAACAACGCTAAGCACACAGCCAAGATAACAAAGGAGTGGCTACAGGACAACTCTGTCAATGTCCTTGAGTGGCCCAGCCAGAACCCAGACTTGAACCTCATTGAACATCTCTGGAGAGATCTGAAAATGGCTGTGCACCAATGCTCCTCATCCAACCTGATGGAGCTTGAGAGGTATTGCGAAGAAGAATGGGAAAAAGAAATAAGGAGGTATTGCGAAGAAGAATGGGAGAAAGAAATAAGTGTGCTAACCTTGTAGCATCATACTCAAAGACTTGAGGCTGGAACTGGTGCTAAAGGTGCTTCAACAAAGTATCGACCAAAGGCTGTGAATACTTATGTACATGTGGGTTTTTTCTTTTGTTTTTTTATTTTTAATACATTTGCAAAGATTTCAAACAAACTTTTCACATTGTCATTATGGGGTATTGTTTGTAGAATTTTGAGAACAATAATGAATTTAATCCATTTCTGAATATAAACGGTATGGTAGATGGATGGAGGGAGAGGAGAGGAGCTCTGCATCATGAGGGGACCCCAGTAGTACCTGAGCCAACCCTAGGGTTAGGGTAAGTCTAGTCTTCGAGGTAGAGAGGGTGTCTGCCTCCCGAACTGAGACTGGGAGCAGGTTCCACAAGAGAGGAGCTTGAGAGCTAAATGCTCTGCCTGCCATTCATTTCATTTGCCATCTTATGCATAGTGTGGCATGATTTGGAATTTTTTTTGAGCAAAATTCTGCATGAAACAACAATTTGTAGGTCAATCTGATTTGTTTTTAACATGGACCGGTTGTTCATGTGATAAAGTCATTTACTGAGCAAAAAACCTTGTTTTCAGCCTAACAAATGTAAGGATTTGCTGTTTGTCTCTGTTTTATGGCTTATTAAATTGAATATCTGTGGGTAAAACAATCGATATGAAGCCATGTTAATGGACATTTTTGGCTGTTTTCTGTCATTTAATAGATTAAATGCTTGCAAATGAATTGATAATGAAAATAATCCTGAGTTGCAGGTCTAACCTTAAGCAGCAAATTTTACTCATGGACTAAAATAAAAATCAAAAGATGGATCAGGTTAAATCACTGTTTGATTGTTATCAACCGGGTTGAGAGAGAAGAAAAGCAGACAAGTATTTAGCTCTAAACAAACTGACTATTACTTCAAGTATCTTAATTTATGGAAACATCACACTGCGGTTGTTTCTTCTCTGAACCACTAATGACAGTATAAACCTGTATGCAGTAGTTAAGCCCTGATGTAGACTCACTGTTTGTGTCTGGCTGGAAAACACGTCTCAATCAGCTGTTTTTGGTACGACTTAGTTTACACACACACGTATTTTACAGGTAGTTATGTGAAAGTGTGCAGTGAGCAGTTTATGGTGTCAGTTTGTTGTATCACTAGATCCTCTAGGCTGAAAAGACATTAGGTAGAGTAGCTTTAACATTGTGTCGTATCGGTGCTATATTGGCAGAGATTGGGTTAAAAAAGACCATAAGAATCCTGTTGTCCATATAAAACAAGTTTTCTATGTCACATGAAAAGTTACATTTTCCCACAAAGAATCAAATGCAGCAGTGTTGTAGCTTCAGCAGCCTCCTTCACGCTTGGATCCTTAAAACAAACTCACTTATTTTCTTCATGTCCTCGGGGACATTTCTCCACTTTAGTTAACTCCCTTTTTATCTGTAATTACAAAGTTTATCCTGCATGTGTCTCAAATTCAGCAGCACCACCTCCGTCAGACTGGTTGGACCTGCAGACACTAACAAATACATCAAAGTTCTTTGCAACAGTATGTTTACTGTATAGTGAGTCCTTCCTATAGAAGAACTGAAAAAGGCAGCTGTGGCTGTTTTCTACCTGCCGCCAGCTATTTAAAGTTGGCAGCCGAAGTGTGAAGGCGATGGTATGGTCTCGTACTGAGGGGTGAGAGGATGTTTTGCTTTCCAGCTTCTCTCTCTCTATGCAGCCTATCTGATGTGACATCCAAAGTGGCTGGCCAGTGGGTTCTCTCTGTTACTGGGAATGCTTTGTTGTTCCAGCTGCAGAGCTGGTGGTGAACTAATAACGGTGACTGTGCCTTGTTTCTCCCACCTGCTCAGCTCTTTAAGATCTAATCAGCAGTTATCCACAAATAGCATGTAGCTTGATTCCTAGCCTAATTTGTACATGTTGGAAGCAAAGTCTGACGCTCTTAAGAAGATATTTAATGTGCTTTCACCCACTGTTGGTCTGTGTGGACAGTGAGCTCAGCTAAACTCCCTGAAACACACAGTGAAGCTGTTGGTCTTCCTCATTGCTCTGTCTATTGGTGTTGAGCAGATGAGATGCAGTGTTCCTAATTATCAGTCTAAACTTTAGCCTCATATTTGTGATTCTGTCTTATGTTTAATGCTAACCAAGTGCAGCTTTTGCATAACATAAGTCACTTCCTGAGGAGAGAAAGTAGAAGCTGACTTTGACTGAGAGCTCATTGAATCATGAGTCAGACAGTTTCAGTGCACAGTGGACTTAAACAGATAGAAAGTATAGTCTTATCCATTTTTGAGTCTGGTACATGTATTGATCTTTAAGAGTTTGGTCATGTTTATTTAACCAATAAAATTTACATTTTTTGGTAAAGATTCATAAAAATATTTTTGTGTAAGTTTAAACCAGTCAGTGCTCTGTGATGAAGAAAACTATGTCCAACATATTTTTGTTACCTGTACATATACTGCATCTGGATGGATAGAAATATTGTCCTCCAACGTCTTGTGCTGACATCATGCATGATTACATTGAATGTACAGTGTACTTCCTGGTTAACTGGCATTTTATCGTAAAAATGATCAGCGGCACACTCTGCATTTCAACCAAGTCATAGTTGCTGAGAAATATGTGACAGTGTGACAGGTGAATATAATAAAAGAGTGAAATTGTATCATTCCTCATTATTTCTAATGTAGGAAACAAAGTAAAGTAGCTGTTTTTACAGCAGCATTTTCCATCTGCTCTACATTTTGATGCTAATGATATGAGACTTTACTTTGCTTACCAGTTTCTGAGTGAGAGAACGCAGGTTAGCACAGGCCACCGAGCTTTATGGTGAAACCTTACTGTGCGTGAGACATCAGCCCGAAGCAGGGGGTGGGGCGGCCTTGCCGGCCTGCAGCCAACCCAGAGGCCACTGAGGCACGTTGCTGTTAATCAGCCAACACAGACAGGGACGAAGATTCGAGGTTTCACTGACAAACGTATTCATGACTGAACTCCACTTGCACATGTGGCTGGTTTATGGTTGTTTGGCTTTGTGTTTCAGGTTCAGGTCACATCAGGGCTCTGATGTGTGTTACTCATACTGAAAGAGCCTTTTACACCTCCTGATCTTCAACATGTCTTTGTCTTTGTGTGTGACAAGTATGATTTTGCATATTGTTTGCTGTTTGATATCAAAGCCATCTTAAAGATGTAGGTACAATGTTGAGTTTAATGGTTCTCAACTAAAGTGCAGAGAGGCAGATCATTAGGTATGTGCGAAACACTGACTGTGTTGGGGCATCCTGATGGTTTTGCTTTCCAGCTTCTCTCTCTCTATGCAGCCTATCTGATGTGACATCCAAAGTGGCTGGCCAGTGGGTTCTCTCTGTTACTGGGAATGCTTTGTTGTTCCAGCTGCAGAGCTGGTGGTGAACTAATAACGGTGACTGTGCCTTGTTTCTCCCACCTGCTCAGCTCTTTAAGATCTAATCAGCAGTTATCCACAAATAGCATGTAGCTTGATTCCTAGCCTAATT